CTGTTAAGACAGCAGGTAAAGGTTGGTCTGTGTTCTGTCGGAGCTGCTTGCGACGCGCTGATGAGATCCAAAAAGATCGAAATCGCGATCCGCGTCTGGCAGTTTCGACAGAATACAGACCACTTCGAATTATTTTATTCAATATCAGTAGTTTAATTTGATACGTTTTTTTAATAAATGTTCTAAGCACAACTTTTTCTATTTTCCTATGGAAAATCGAAGTTAAATTAAGATTAAAGTGTAATTTAATCCACCACAAGGTGATATTTATCCACTTACAGGCCATTCTGTATGGGGATCTCGGAGGTCTCGTCTATTTTAGAATGTTAGCATTATTTGGCAATACTAAGACGGTATTGCATCAATTGCATCGAGTTTGGTACAAACTGTAGTAGTGAAGGTATCTTTCGTAACGAATATTATTTCCCATGCATGTAAATCTATTGCATAACACCAGATTTTTGTACCCTTGGCTTCGTATATGCATGGTACATATCTACGCGTATGCAACAGCATTCAGTGGTTTCCATTAGAAGAAAATTACGTACATTCCTGTTTATTCAGTCACCAATACTGTCGCATATAATGAATGCCCTTGGTACTTAATCCACAATAATATATTTTCACTATTTAGAACAGCGGACTTTTGAGTTTTATGCCAAACTGTTCGAGAAAATTCGACTTATCGATACTAGTTCAAGTTTAAAAGATATTGTTCACTTATTGTGTTATTTTTATCTCGTGTTGGAGACTGACGTTAATTTGTCACGTTGTTGTAATTGAACTTCGATTTAGACATTTCCGGAAGTGTATAAGGAAACAATTTTTTTTTTAATCATTTACAGACGTCGCTTAATTTATTTGTCGTAATTCAAGTGGAATATTTCTAATTGATTACAATAAAACTATTTTTACGCTCTGTTAATCTTTATAATTTGTTTGTTAATTGAATATAACTGTTTTGATCTATCATTTTTTGTAGATTCTATTTTAAGAATTTCCAGAGTTTTGCGGATTACGTATTCTATATTACAAAAAATAATAATAATAACATTAAAACATGTTGTGGTATGGGCTCCTACTGACCTAGATATGAACAAATACTAACTGGAGCAGGTTTTTTGGATGAAGTAATACAAAATTCGTGCAAATCACTTTTCCGATATTTTAAGTGCATTTTACCATTATTACCTACGACGTAATAACTTTCACTATTACACTTTTTCAATATTAATATTAAATATTTTAAATTTTTCGTGCCCCGTTCGCTCACAATTAGTATAAAATTTACTTTCATTAATTATAAGTATAAAGTGTGTCTTCGTTTTTACTTGAGGTACATAAATATACCTAATGTTAAGTTAGGTATGTATAGATAAGATAAAGTCAATTTATAACAAATTCAAATAAAAGTTGTAAGTAAATCAGAAAAAGAATAAAATTTTTTTGTTGTATATTCTCTGTTTAATAAACAGCTTTTCCAAAGTACTACATACGTATGAGAAGCTGTTTCTTAATCTTGATATTAACCCACTAATCAAGAATAGTTTGTGTAATAAGAATTATGTAATTAAAATTCACCTATTGGAGTCGTCTATCATTTTATTGATCGATTGCTAACACTATTAATTTTGCAACGTGAATTTACGAAATTTACCATTAAATAAATTAACATTTAATTTAGCATAAAACTACAAGAATAAATAATTGAAGAATTTACATACAAAAACAAGTATAAAATAAGTAGACATATTTTTTCGTTTAAGGTTATTACTAGTGTAAAATAAAGCTATTTTCTAAAGACGTTAAGTATTGGCTACTGAAACGATTAAAACGTTTTATTGAGTGCAATCATTTTTTTTCTAATTCCTGTTTTGTTTTGTTAAATTTACTTGTCGCATGTTGAGCATGACATTCTCTCAAGTACAATAAATAAATGATTGACTGGCGTACCTAGCTACATATCCAACTAGAAAATTCCTTTGAACCTAATGGGCTTTTTTTTTAATAAATGAAAAAGTGTTAAAACGTTGTAGTAAATACTGTATCCTTGTTCTAGAGATTATGACAATATTATGTGTAAAATATAACAAACTATTAAAGAATGTATTTTCCTGAACCAGTTGTTTGATAATTTTAGTTATTAATTTGTAATTTTAACGTTATTTAAACACTTTGTGTATGATGCGCCAAAAAAATATTCTCGAAAACACGATTAAGTTCGATTTTGTGGTATTTGCAATTAATAGGCACTTTTCTACTAAAACAACAACGAAGTGGCACGGAGGGTTCTTGTCTTTATAAGTTTTCCCTTCTTTGGTATAAATAAATAAAACGTAATTGGTCTATTCTTAATTATATTATCGCAATTTCACATGTCTTCGGTTGAGATCTACTCAAGGACGAATTTTTGCAACAATTATCAATTTCTGGACAAATTGTTTTATAAACGTCTATTTATTTTACTGATACGGATGAATTATATCATTAAAAAACCTATTACGCAAAATTTAAAGTCAAAACATGACTTCCAAACATTTTATTTGAAAACGTTTGTTTATTTATTGTGATTTACAACGCATGTAAATATTATTTATTTTAAATCATAATAATCATTTAATCACTAAATAATATAAATTACCTAAACGTAAAATTTACACACAATTATGAACTACATACCTATCAAAAACAATATCATACGAGCATTAAATTCAATTCATAAAGTTCTTTCAAGATACTGCATCGGTTTGTTTAGTTATCATAAATTTAACAGAGATTAAATGGCATTCAATGCGGCTAAGTTGTGCATTTAAAAATCTATAAATAATAAATCAATCATATTGTTCAAGATACGGATTATTGGATGAGGTCGTTTAATTTTTTCCCATCGTAATCAATTATCAACTTATTTTTACATGTATTCGACTT